TAGACAGTGTATTAAAAAGCAGAGACATCACTTTGCCAACAAAGGTCCGTCTAGTCAAAGCTATGGTTTTTCCGTTAGTCATGTACGGATGTTAAGAGTTGGTCCATAAAGAAAGCTGAGCACCAAAGAACTGATGCTGTTGAACTGTGGTGTTAGAGAAGGCTCTTGAGAGTCCCTTGGAGAGAGTTCCTTGTAAGGAGATCAAAGCAGGCGTTCCTACAGGAAATCAATCCTGAATATTCATTGCAAGGACTGATGCTGAAGCTGAAGCCCCAATACTTGGGCCACCTGATGCAAAGAGCCCAACTCATTGGAAAGACCCTGATGCTGGGAAAGATTAAGGGCAGGAGAAGAAGGGGATGACAGAGGACAAATGATTGAATGGCATCACTGACTCAATGCACATGAGTTTGAGTAAGCTCCAGGAGATCACCAAGGACAGGGAAGCCTGGCATGCTACAGTCCAGGGGGTCGCAAAGAGTTGGACATGACTGAGTGACTAAACAATAATAACACTGATGCACCAAGCTACAAAGAAAAGCTGTCTCTCATTATAGAAAAATCTGAGACAGAGAATTCAACCATGTGGCATTTACTAACACTGATGCTGGACAAAAGTGTAACTGCTCCACAGGGAATAAAATGATGTGATAGATCTAGTACCTACTGAGTGCTGATTAAAATCTAGCTGTTTTTGTGAAATCAGTAATACAGTCTTTGTGAAATCTAATTTAAAAGTGAGGAATTCAAACCTTCAATTGTTAAATAATGTGCCCACATTCATGTCTGCAAAAAGCAGCAGAGACTGATTTGAATCTAGATGTCTGACTTCAACATCCATGCTCTGTTCTGTTTCAGAGTTTTCTTCATCTGTAAAGTAATAATGATTAAAAAAAAAAAAACTAGAGCGTTTCAGAAAATAAATGAGAAAATATCCATGGAAGTGTTTCTCAAGTTACAATGAGCAGTATCAGCATCACATTGAGATGCACCAAGCTACAAAGGAAAGCTGTCTCTCATTATAGAAAAATCTGAGACAGAGAATTCAACCATGTGGCATTTACTAACACTGATGCTGGATAAAAGTGTAACTGCTCCACAGGGAATAAAATGATGTGATAGATCTAGTACCTACTGAGTGCTGATTAAAATCTAGCTGTCTTTGTGAAATCAGTAATACAGTCTTTGTGAAATCTAATTTAAAAGTGAGGAATTCAAATCTTCAATTGTTAAATAATGTGCCCACATTCATGTCTGCAAAAAGCAGCAGAGATTGATTTGAATCTAGATGTCTGACTTCAACATCCATGCTCTGTTGTTTCAGAGTTTTCTTCATCTGTAAAGTAACAATGATTAAAAAAAAAAAAAAAAAAACTAGAGCGTTTCAGAAAATAAATGAGAAAATATCCATGGAAGTGTTTCTCAAGTTACAATGAGCAGTATCAGCATCACATTGCTTTTTAAATATAGGCATTTCTCTCCATGTACAATTAAAATTAATAACCTGAATTCAAAGTTTTTAACTACTGTCCTTCCCCTCTCAGTATACTTAGGAGAGGAGGGAAAATTTCCATGGTAATCACTCAAGCCCATATTATTCAAACCAATAAATAACTAAATCCACTTCTTTTCTTTCTCCTTTTCTTTCAGTATTTTCATTACAGTATCCAATGTGAAATGAACTGACTTCACATCAGAAATAGGTAAAAGAAGGCATATATAAACTTAAGAAAGCATCTGACCAAAAAGAAAAACTCATAATAGTGCATGAAGAGATTTACAAATGTGTATTAATAGATATTTAATCAACTTAAGCCCTAAATCTCTTGTTTTGTTATGCTAGAGATTGAGAGCTGTTACAATAACCAGTACGCTACACATGCTTATTTAATTTGTGTGACAAATCACAGAGCAGTTTATCAGTACTCCCTTAATAAGAGTGGGAATTATTAATATTGCCCCATATTCTTCTTCTCTTATAAAAAGAGTATATAAATATCATGGAAGCTCTACGCCTTAGGCTGCAATTTCCAGACATGAAAAGCTTTAAATTGGTTTAAATAGAAAAGGATATCTGGGGTTTCCCAGGTGGCACTGGTGGTTAAGAATCTGCCTGCCAATGCAGGACATAGGAGAGACGCGGGTTCGATCTCTGGGTCAGGAAGATGCCCTGGAGAAGGAAATAGCAACCCCTTCCATATTCTTGCCTGTGAAATCCCATGGACAGGGGAGCCTGGTGGGCTACAGTCCACAGGGTCTCAAAGAGTCAGATATGACTGAGCATCTGAGCACAGTAAGGATATTTATTGGCTTACACATTCAGAAGCTCAAAGGCTAGACTGGGTCCAAGGCAAGGAGAATGCCATGATTCAACAGTGTCACTGAGGATAAAGACACCCTTCATCTCTCCACTGTGCAGTGTATGAATTCATATTTATCTGAAGAATAATTTCCTTTGTGACTATACTGACCAGGGTTGCATCCTTTCTTGTTTACATGCAGGGGGACACATATGACCAAGTTTCAGGCATGAAAAATGTTCCTTTCTTCAAATTCACGAGGCAGATATAGGTTACAGGTCACATGTCCCAACCATGGCAAGGACATATGCTGACTGGCTTAGGCCTGAGGACCAGAAATGATCCCTCTGATCAGCCTGTATGAATCATGACCCATCCACAGAAGTGTATCCTTTTCTACCTGCCATCGTGGCTGCATAGTGGTGGATGTATGAGTGATAGGGTGGCAACCACCACACCTACTTCACACTAATGTCTTTATAAATCTTACCAGTGTAGGTCTCTAGGAAGAAGCATGGTTTATGTGAAAAGACATTTTGTGTGGGGACAGGGATTGGGATGAAGAGACTACTCTTCTGATTTGGTTGTTAAAAGTTTTCTCATTTAACGTCCCCTGGGAAAAAAATCTCATATTTTCACTCTGCTCAAGATTAAACATGAACAAAGACCTCCGTTTCATATTGGGGATGAGAAAAAGAAATGCCGAAAGATACAGAGGGGAAAAATAGGACTTAGCAATGCCAGAGGAGNTCATATTTTCACTCTGCTCAAGATTAAACATGAACAAAGACCTCCGTTTCATATTGGGGATGAGAAAAAGAAATGCCGAAAGATACAGAGGGGAAAACTAGGATTTAGCAATGCCAGAGGAGACCATGAAAATATAAGTACTCAGAAACAGGGGGGGATATCAGAAAGGGCATCAGATTTTTCATGTCCTATGCTATATTGAAAACCAATTTTTATCAAGCTCTTAATGGACAAGTGAACAGAGCTGGGAACTGGTTACATCACTTTGCTGATGAACCATACATATTCTAATTACACTAATAATTCCAAGTATACCAAGCTTCCTCATTATCCAAATGTGCTTCAACCCAGAATAAATACGCATGCTATTTTCAATTAGCAGATTTAGCAAGATATAAAACATAGTCATAGTCAAAAAGAAATTGGTTCTCCTCATATGAGTAACTGCTTTCTTAGTCCACGTGTACGTGCTTTAAAGACGTGGTTAGAGTCCGTAATTATGGGATATACTGCCTGAGTTGCTGATTTTTCTCAGCTCTAATAAGGCAAAAAGTTTATCAGCCTATATTACAAGAAGGTTTTGGGGGCAACATAGCTATTTAAGTAGAGGAAAAGGTAATTATTTTGAGACAAGCTTTCTTAGTAATCAAATGCTTCCATGGTTAGGTTGATTAAAACTATATATCAAGATTTAATTTCTGAAAATTCAGCCAAGACAAGAAAACAGCAGGAAGCAAGTTAGTCAGTTAACATTAGGAAGATCATCCCTAGATCTATTCAGCTTTTGCTTCAGTGTCCAGCTTGTTTTACAGTCCGTTCTTAATCAAATATTCCTTTGATTCCACCATCCTCCACTTTGTACTATTATAACTATTTTTCACTTATTATCTCAGATTTAATCATCTGAGGAGACTGGTAAGAACTTACCAGAACTAGTTAGTTAAAATTATATTTTTAACTATCACTAATACTTAAAAAAATAATTTATTCTTTTTCCCATTTTTTTATTGTTTGCCTCACAAGAAATAAATGATACTTCAGTGATGGCTAAATTAAAATACTTATTACACTAAATGATGAACCCCACATGATATATCAAAACCAGATCAAACTCTTAAATGTACCTTAAAAATAACCCAATATCCTGGTGAAAATACCATCCCTCCCAGACNAACCCAATAGCAATACCTTATTAAAATTATACACAGTGTCTTAAAACTAAACATATATATATATAGTTATATAATTTTATCTATCTATAGTTTCAGCTCTCTGTCTAGATACATGACTTAAAACTATACATACATACAATTATAAAATTTTACCTATCTACAATTTCATCTGTTTAGATAAGTCAATTTGTATACATGCATTTATACTAGCATAAATGTGGCCATTCTCTGAAAATTAAAAACTGTGGTTTATAGATTCTATTCGCTATACAGTTATGCCTTAGGGATTTTAAGATATCCAAGACAAAATACAGAAAATTTGCTACTTTATGTACAGAAAATCCTCATTACTTGGGCAAATAAGATGGACTTTCTTTCACGCAGTCTGCAAAAAGCTTCAAATGTATGTAACTCAAAAATAAATCCATTCGTCAACTCTACTAACATTAACATATTTGCCTCAGTTTATGAATAATAACGTAATTTAATTGAATGTATATATTTCTGAGAAAAAACACAAAGAATAACTCATGATATTCTTAAAGTATCATTTAAACTTTTATCCGCTATATAGTACACGTATATCTTCAAGTTGTTTCACTAATAATTGAATCGGTGACAAATAATTAAACATATAGGTTGAAAATATACATCACTGACATTCTAAAAATATTTCACTATAACTAGCACTTTCAAATAATTTTCTACATTTAAACAAATGCTATGTTTAGGCTTCCCAGATCTCCTCCAAAGTATAAAAATTTTTACATACACTTACCAACAGTATCACATGGCTCATCTTTGTGTACACAGAAATCTTTCCTAGAAAGAAAAACAGAAAATATTGTTTGTTCCACAAACAACAAAGTATATGGTTTATTTTTAACACTTATAATGAACAACTGAATGACACTCTTTATCTCCAAGAATTTAATAAAACTGAAAATAGGATTAACTAATTTTTGATTCTAAGAAAATGTGAGAATAATTAAATTACTATATATACCTTTCACCTGATATAATCCTGAAACATTGGGTCCTATCCCAGGGATCAAACCTACGTCACCTGCACTGCAGGTGGATTTTTTTTACCAGTTGAATCACAAGGGAAGCCCTTAGACATAATACTATTGCACATTTAATAGACTATAGAATACTATAAACATAACTTCTATGTGCACTGGGAAATCAAAATACTCATGTGGCTTGCTTTGTTGCAGTGGTATGGAACCAAACCTATAACATCTCCAAGGTATGCCTTTAACTCCATCCCAATTTTTGAAATCTCAAGTTAGACAGTTTTTTCTAAACCATTAGTGCTCATTTAGATTTACCTATATATTTGGCAATTTCTTTTCTCAATAATATCTTGTATCACTACCATCTAGAGAGACTATTATTCTTTAAGTATATCCTTCAGTATCTCCTTCAGTGAAGACCTATGAATACTAACTAAATGGTCTCAGATCGCTTCCTTAATTCTCATTGTGTGTATGTTGCTCAGTTGTGTCCAACTCTTTGCGACCCCACGGACTGCAGCCCAGCAGGTTCCTCTGTCCCTGAAATTTTCCAGGCAAGGATCCTGGAGTGGGTTGCCATTTCCTTCTCCAGGGGATCTTCCCAACCCAGGGATCGAACCTGGGTCTCCTGCACTGCAGGCAGATCCTTTTACTGACTGAGCTACAAGGGAAGCTACAAAGCTAATTCTCATTAGCCTGCATTTATTCACAATGGAAGAGTACGGTGACTGTAGAACTGTAGGCTGGCTTTATTAGCCCCCAACACACTGAAGATATTTCATTTTATTCTAGCATTTATAAAAAAAAGAAGTCTGTAATCAACTTGCAGTTTTCACTCCAATCCCAAAGAAAGGCAATGCCAAAGAATGCTCACTACTGCACAATTGCATTCATCTCACACACTAGGAAAGTAATGCTCCAAATTCTCCCAGCCAGGCTTCAACAATATGTGAACCGTGAACTTCCAGATGTTCAAGCTGGTTTTAGAAAAGGTAGAGGAACCAGAGATCAAATTGCCAACATCTGTTGGATCATCAAAAAAGCAAGAGAGTTCCAGAAAAACATCTATTTTTGCTTTATTGACTATGCCAAAGCCTTTGACTGTGTGGATCACAGCAAACTGTGGAAAATTCTGAAAGAGATGGGAATACCAGACCACCTGANCAGTCCTGAATATTCACTGGAAGGACTGATGTTGAAGCTGAAACTCCAATACTTTGGCCACCTGATGTGAAGAACTGACTCATTTGTAAAGACCCTATTGCCGGGAAAGATTGAAGGCAGGAGGAGAAGGGGACGACAGAGGATGAGATGGTTGGATGGCCTTACTGGGTCAATGGACATGAGTCTGAGTAAACTCCAGGAGTTGGTGATGGACAGGGAGGCCTGGCGTGCAGCAGTCCACGGGGTCACAAAGAGTTAGACACGACTGAGCACCTGAACTGAATCAACTTACTCTTCTTTCATTTGGTTTTGATTAATTTTTATTGAGAATCGACATAGAACATTGTTGCTGGTTAATTTTAAGATTTCTTTTTGTCTTAATATTAATAGTTCTGCAGTTCCACTAAGATGAGTCTAGGTACTGAGTTTGTTTTTATTTATCTCCTTTGGTACTTGGTATGTCAATTTGAAGATTCACAAATATACATTATAACCATTATTTATCTATCTAATTCCTCTCACATTCTCTCTGCTCTTTCCCTAGAACTTCTTGAAGTGTATATTCGTTCTTCTCATTTTGACGTCAGTAACTCTCACTCTTTTGTATTTCCATCTCTTAATCACTCTGTACAGAGTTTATCTGGGATAATCCTTCAGATCTATCATCCAATCCACTAGCGCTCTCTTCAACTGCATCTACTCTGCTCTTCAAACCAGAAATTAAGATTTTTAAGTACATTTTTATGCTTTATTTTCCTCAACTTTCAAATTATCTTTTCTTTCAAAACAGCTTTTTTCTCACACTTTTGAATTTTTGTGTGTTCAATCAGGTGAACATGCTTTTTTATAACTTCTGTCAGTATTTCAAAATATTCTTTATCGAGCTCCTTGGCTCCATTTGATATGTTGTCACGTTGGGTTTTGGAATCCTACTCTGAACTCATTTAGTTGAACTTTATTTGTGGATGCCTTGTGAGGTGAAAGTTAAAAGAGGGCCCCTTCACAGTAGTTTTGCATATGCTTTCACTACGTGTTTCCATGTTGGATTATAGTCATGGTAATGAATACCCACAGGAGCCATTTTCTCCTAACATGGGTTCATGGCTAAAACAGAAAGAAAGCTTCCTTCCTGTTGACAACCTGTGCTTGTCGCAAAACTTTTACCAGACCAAAATTTTATTTAGGGTGTAAGTATCCAAGGGGCCTGGCTGTCTATAATCATTTCAGTTCCCACTTCACAAAGGCACAAAGTTTTTTCTTTATATGGGAGTTTAACCCAAGAATCCCGATTTTTAAGTCCAGCAAACTCCTACCAGGACAACTATCACATTACTTCAGAAGCTTACTGCATTTTTTTTTTTTTTTGCCAGAGTGCTCTTGTTTTGGGCTCACCTTTGCACATAAAAGGATTTTCATTATGCTGTTTCTACATCCCTAGATGTTGATGATGGGAACATTTTCTGATTTTTTACTCAGACAGATTATCACAAAGTTAAAGGAAGAGGACACAATCTGTGACCTACCATACAATAATTAAGCATACTGAAACATTTATTGTTAACATTAGATCTTACTATACATAGACTTTATTCTAATATTATATTTTATATGATGCAGTTACTTTTACCAAACTCTTTAAAAGACTGAACAACTACCTCAGTATGATGTTCACATTGACCTCATTGATAAATTACTTTCTCAAAGATATCTTTCTACAAATAGGGATTACATTAGTTATAAATTATTTAAAAAATTAGTGATTAGTGCAATATTGTCATTTTCCTCTCATAAGGCATGAGATAGAAAAAAAATGTGTAACTAGACATGACTATGACTGAATTAGAGAATGAAGTAATTTAATATCAAAGCTTAATTACTATAATTTTTTATTATTCCTTGAGGCAAATGTCTGACAAAGACAATTTCTATGAAACAGATATAGAGTCAACTCTTGATTACTAGAGTAAAGGCAAGAAAGGTAAAGGCTTGATAAAGATGATAAAATAATCTTAAATTTTAACACAAGGGACAATACAGATTTACCATAAACATGATTCATTTAAATCATTCCCATTGATTAGAAATACATGAACTATTCTGCAATTATAACAAAATAATAACAAGTATGAGACTGTATCACAGTAATTACTTTATAATTAGTTGAAGAGTTATTATTCCTGTGGGTCTCTTTGCTAAGAACACTTCCCCAGTATTTCACTAAGACAAAGGTCTGTTTAGTCGAAGCTATGGGTTTTCCAGTAACAATGTATGGACAAGAAAGAAGGCTGAGTGCTGAGGAACTGATGCTTTCAAATTGTGGTGCTAGAGACGATTCTTAAGAGTGCCATGGACAGCAAGGAGATTAAACCAGTGAATCCTGAAGGAAATCAACCCTGAATATTCACTGGAAGGATTGATGCTAAAGCTGAAGTTCCAATACTTTGGCCATCTGATACAAGGAGCTGACTCACTGGAGAAGACCCTGATTCTAGGGAAGACTGAGGGCAGGATGAGAAGTGGGTGACAGAGGATGAGATGGTTGGATGGCATCACTGACTTAATAGACATGAGTTTGAGCAAACTCCAGGAGATAGTAAAGGACAGGGAAGCCTGTCGTGCTGAAGTCCATGGGGTCGCAAAGAGTTGGACATGATTAGCAACTGGACAAAAACAACAAGGAAGATGGAGACTCAAGCCCCATCGTACACTGCCTTTTCTCCCTTCCTTTCCTTACTTAACTCCAGTTGTCAATATTTGGATTTGGTTTGCTTTAGTGACCAGGCTTTCTCCTGCCTCTGCTTTCATAATGCAAGTCACAGATATCTTTTCTCTAGAGAAAGCCTACTGCAGAGACCTCTCATCTGACTGCAAGGAAGTGAGAAATTCCCTAAAATGGAATATACGCAATGTAGTGTTACATGAAGAAGGAAATGGCAACCCACTCCAGTATTCTTGCCTGGAGAATGTTGTGGATGGAGGAGCCTGGTAGGCTGCTGTCCATGGGGCTGCACAGAGTCAGACATTATTGAAGTGACTTAGCAGCAGTAGCAGTGTTACATTATGCTGTCTACAGCTTATTGTATATTTCTAAACAAGAGAAACAGTACGTTTCATTAATTTGTAAAAACTTAAATGTTTTTCTCAAATGGTATTGCTTTTATTCTGATAAACCTATTGATAAACTAGTTAATTCATCATGGATAATTAAAAATTGGCCTTTACCACCTGATACTTTAATCTTCACTCTACACAAAATCTTTTCCTTTATATACGACAGATACATAATCCTATTAATACCATTTGCATATGCCTTAAAAATGTTCTGTCCCAACTGAATGAAAGGAAATAGCCCCCCCAAAAAAAGAGAGAGAAATTTAATTGAAACAAATAATCAGATTGCCCATCAGCACAGATGGGTCTTAAAATTTATGCCATTTTAGTAAAAAAAATTATCTTTCTGAAAATACATGCCAAAATTAGAACAACTCTAGAAAAATGAGGGAAGATGCACTCAAATTTTATCCCATAAATGTAACCACTCAAGTTATCCTATCCTAAACTTTCAAGTTAAACTAATGGATGTCATTGCCTTCAATATTCAAGGTACAAAACTGAAAACCTTAAGAATCTGGGCAAAAT